TCTCCTGCCTCAGCCTCCTTAGTAGCTGGGATTACAGGCACGCGCCACCATGCCCAGCTAATTTTTTGTAGTTTTAGTAGAGACGGGGTTTCACCATGTTGACCAGGATGGTCTTGATCCCTTTTTTTTGTTTGTTTGTAGAAAGTGATTTATTTAAACAGAGAGAGAAAAAGGAGAAGGAGAGAGAAAGAAACTGCTAACTCTCACACTGAGTGAGAGGATCCAGAAAGATGGAATCCAGGAGAGGAAAGCAGCTTCCACCCTGAGTGGAAGGGAATAGAGAGAGATGGAGTTTAGGAGGGAAGACAGGCTTCCACGAGAAAGTGTGGAAGGGACTCCAGAGGGGAAATCCAGGAGAGAGAAAGATCGGTCTTGATCTCTTGACCTCATGATCCACCCGCCTCGGCCTCCCAAAGTGCTGGGATTACAGGCGTGAGCCACCGCGCCCGGCCTTGTCAGCTTTTTAACTGTACATCTGTTTTATTCACCATAAAAACAGGAAAAGACTATAGCAGGTACTCAGGCCTTAACTTTGAAACAACTATACTTCCTCATGCTTATTATATTTAATGGCTATAAAATAATTTACCTGATAGTTATATACTGTCTTACCTAAAAACATTCCCATGTAATTGGTTAATAAGGTACTGGGTAATGTCAAAGTCTTAGAGTCTTGACAGAATTTAGCTCAGACACAGGTTTATGCTGTCTCATCTGGGACATTAAAATGGTGGTTTCAAGATCCCTTCTGTATTAGCCCACTTAGGCTGCCGTAACAAAACATCACAGACTGGGTGGCTTAAACAGATACCTAATTTCTCAAAGTTTTAAAGCCTAGAAGTTTGAAATCAAGGTACCAGAATAGTTGGTTTTTAGAGAGGGATCTTTTCCTGGCTTGTAGTCAACTATATCTCATCGCTTCCTTACATGGTTGAAGATAAGTTCCCGACATCCTTTTTTTTTTTTGAGATGTAGTCTCACTCTGTCTGTCGCCAGGCTGGAGTGCAGTGGCGTGATCTCGGCTCACTGTAACCTCCACCTCCCGAGTTCAAGGGATTCTCCTGCCTCAGCCTCCCAGGTAGCTGGTACTATAGGTGTGCACCACCACCATGCCCAACTAATTTTTTAACAGAGATGAGGTTTCACCATGTTGGCCAGGATGGTCTTAATCTCTTGACCTCATGATCTGCCTGCCTTGGCCTCCCAAAGTGCTGGGATTACAGGTATAAGCCACAGAATGCCCGACCCATCCCTTCTTAAAGGACATTAATTTTGTTGGGTAAGGGTCCTAACCTTACAACCTCATTTAACCTTAATTACACTTCCTTAGAGGTGACATCTTTAAATACAACCACACTGAGGGTTATGGGAAGATTATAGCTTCAACACATTAATGGGGGGGTGAGGGGCACGGGGGAGTTTATAAACATTTGGTCCATAACACCTCCTAATTCACGATCATTGCTATTCCTTCAACATCCTAGACATGCCAACAGGCATCTCACGATGCACTATCTCCCTGGGACAAGAAATGCATGACCTCAAGCAACAACTTCTTCCTAATGAGGAAGAAATGCACTCCTCGGCCAGGCACAGTGGCTCACGCCTGTAATCCCAGCACTTTGGGAGGCCAAGGTGGGCAGATTGTGAGGTCAGGAGATCATCCTGGCTAACACAGTGAAAGCCCGTTATCTACTAAAAGTAAAAAAAAAAAAAAAAAATTAGCCAGGTGTGGTGGCACGTGCCTATAGTCCCAGCTACTTGGGAGGCTGAGGCAGGAGAATCACTTGAACAGGAGGTGGAGGTTGCAGTGAGCCGAGATTGTGCCACTGTACTATAACCTGGCGACATAGCGAGACTCTGTCTTTAAAAGAAAGAAAGAAAAGAAAAAGGAAAAAAAAAAAAAAAAGAAATGCACTCATGTGGGATGAAAAGACAATGGCCAAGTTGGGTTGCCTAACAGTTGAACTAAACCTCAATCATCTTTTCATACCACAGGCTCCAGAGTTGTGCTGTTGTTTTTAAAATACAGATGGTGTCTTATTCTGTCACCAAGGCTAGAGTGCAGTGGCACAATCATAGCTTAGGCACTGCAGCCTCAAACTCCTGGGCTCAAACAATCCTCCTGTCTCAGTCTCTCAATTAGCTTGGACTACAGACGTGTGCCAACATGCTTAGCTTATTTTTTTTTTTTTTGGTAGAGACAGAGTCTTGCTATGTTGCCCAGGCTGGCCTTGAACTCTACAGCCTCAAGTGATCCTCCCACCTTGGCTTCCCAAAGTGTTGGGATTATAGTCATGAGCCACTACCATGCTCACTCTCCACAGTTTTAGCAGAAACATAATTAAGCTCCTAATTGCCTTAGAGGATACAGAAGGAAAACGAATGGAGTGGGAAAAGGGTAGTTCATTTGTAAGATTTCCATATACCCTTACAGTTATGAACTATAAAATGCATCTTCTAGTAATCAAGGTTGCAGCCTAGCCTACAAAAATCTATACTACAAGGTAGCTGATTTCATATATAATGGCATGCACTGATTTTATCCCCTTTGCATTTTTTCATCTGTCAATGATAAGCTAAATAAACTCTTCTGACCTAGTAGAAATCTAAGAAACTTTATGAGTGAATGTACATGTATGTGTGGTGATATGTTTATGAAATGCCTACAGAAAAAATGTTTTCTGATGTTAAATATACTCACAAACCTACCAATGGAAGAAAACTTAATAAATTATAATCAACTAACCTTCTTCTGTTGCGTGCAGGTGTATTGCATCGTTCCCCTGAGAAGTGATGTTGGCTTGGTCGAACTGAAGGGGGCTGCCTATTTGATGTCATCTCCCATGGTCGCATTGGTGGTGAGGGAGCTGGTGATGCTGATGTATAATCAAAGACTGAATGAGAGAGGCGCTGTCTCTTGGGGCTTGGACTATCTTCACTCTGCCAATGCAACAAAATGGATCAACTGAGTAAGATCTCTTAAGGATTTCACATTACTGCATATGCACAGGTGTTAAGATGTACTTAACGTAAAACCTAAAAATGTAAAGCAGGGAAAAAATATATGCTATCAATTCAAATTTAAAACCTTTTAAAAATGCTGGAGTGGGGTGGAACAGGGAAGGAAGATGCACAGTAAATGATATAAAGTGAAAAATGAACTTTGTTTTTAAAAACTCATCCTAAGGCAAATGAGGTAATGACATATAGGGTATACAATAGCATAATATAACTTTTATATAGTACTTGACCTCTCTTTAAGTTCCCAAACCACCTAAGAAATTACACTCCACTACAATCTCCCATCATTATCAGTTACTGTTTTAGGCATCAATTCTCAGCTGTGAGTTCAGCTTAGTAGGAGATATAGTTTAACTAGGTCCTCAAACTTATTCTCAATCGCAGTCTTCTCCCTCCTTATTCCTGTTTAGGCCACTGTATTTATTTTCTTTAAAGAGGGTTACACAGGGCCAGCCGTGGTAGCTCACACCTGAAATCCCAGTGCTTTTGGAGGCAGAGGCCTCTGGATCACCAAAGGTCTCTGAGTTCGAGACCAGCTTGGCCAACACAGTGAAACCCCATCTCTATTAAAAATACAAAAATTAGCCAGGTGTGGTGGCATGTTCCTGTAATCTCAACTATCTGGGAGGCTGCAGTTGCAATGAGCCAAGATCACACCACTGTACTCCAGCCTAAGCAACAAGAGTGAGACTCCGTCTCAAAAAAAAAACCAAACAAGAGTTACGTGGATAAACTAAGATTTATATTAGACAGATAATGAAATCGCTAATTACCTGATGAGTTCTTTTACTAGAATATCACAGCAGTTTGGAAGTACTTTTCAAGTTTTCAAGGGCCCCAGCATGGGCTTACTAGCTGTAAAACTGATATAGATCACTTAATTGCATTATTAGCCTCCAAGTGTCCCCACCTAATTCAGTTTCCCAAATGAGTCTCCCCAAAACTATCAAAGATACAAATTAACTGGAAATTTGATAAGACTGTGTGTTTTCTAGCAGAACATCTATCTCCAAATCTCCAATCTATTCCTGCAAGTTCTAATTAGTTGGGCATTACAATAATTTTGGTTGCAAAATAATTAGTACCTACAGCTAACCATAAAAATCATCTTATAACATTAGCAAAAGTATAAGGGATTACACATTAGTGTTAGATTTTAGGTAAGCATATGAAACGGAACTGATTATTTTATTTAAGCTGGAAGGAATGAAGCAAATTGCTAAATGACTACATTTGATCATTCCAAATTACTTAGCAGAGATATTCCATGTACAGTCATCCCTCGGCAACCTAGAGGGTTGGTGCCAGAGACCACTCCCCTATAACAAAATCTTAAGATGCTCAGGTCTCTGATATGAAATGGTGTCATATTTGCATATAACCTACACACACACACCCATATACTTTAAATCTCTAGATTACCTACAATATCAACACAATACAATGCAAATGTTTTATAAATAGCTGTTATACTGTATTTTAAATTTTTTTATTCTTGTATTGTTGCTTTTATTTCATTTTTTCTGAATATTTCCCATCCGTGGTTGGTTGAATCTTTGGGTAAGGAACTACCAACTAATCTAGTAGAAGTACACTTATTTTTACCCTTTGATTTTAGTGAGAAAGTTAGTTCTAATGTTCTGATAATCCTAACGCTTAAAAAATGATCATTAACATTGAAATTTAAATATGCTGATTTTTTTTTAAGTAGAACAATCAAGACCTGACAAACCTGCAAATGAACTACATAAGAACCAGAAACAGGCTGGCTCCACAACTGGTATAACAGATTTGGTTAACATTGACTTTTTAAAGAACAAAATGCTAGTAACCAATCATGATGATTAGCTTTTCATTGCATATCCTACCCTGAAAAGCCTAATATAAAATCAGAAACAGAACTCTGAATTCTAGAAATTCACTACCTAAAATGAAGGAGAATGCTATAGATCCTCCTGATAAAGGTCAAATGACAAGAGAAAACCTTTAGGTTATAAACTTTCACATATTTTCAGTGATGTTAAAATTGTGGGATAACAATGTTCTTATTTTATAACAAATGCAATGCTTTTAAAAGTAGAGGTAAGGAAAAGTGGCTGAGAAAAGTTACATCACTTTTCTTTGTGCTGTGATGGTGAAAAAGAAGAGACAAAGCATGGGAAGTGAAGGGAGCTATTCATTAGTATTCTGGAAATAAGTTTACTTTCTCCCCCCTCCTCTTTTTTTTTTTTTGTTTGAGATGGAGTTTCACTTTTGTTGCCCAGGCTTGAGTGCAATGGCCCAATCTTAGCTCACTGCAGTCCCTGCCTCCCGGGCTCAAGCGATTCTGCCTGAGCCTCCAGAGTAGCTGGAATTACAGGCATCCGCCACCACACCTGGCTAGTCTTGTATTTTTAGTAGAGACGGGGTTTCTCCATGTTGGTCGGGCTGGTCTTGAACTCCCGACCTCAGATAATCTGCCCACCTCCACCTCCCAAAGTGCTGGGATTACAGGTGTGAGCCACCTTGCCCAGCCAATAAATTTACTTTCTTACTCAAAGACATCGGAAATCACAATGACTAAAGAGAGGAAAACATTAAGAAGTAGTTTACTATATGCAGTATGATTTCATCACTTCACTTATCAATTTTAGTACTCTAAGGAACTTCAAAGAAATCCTCAGTTTCCAGAAAAGGGAAGGGGTAGTAACCTACAAAGAAATAAGAATTAGATTAACATCAGACTTCCCATAGCAAAAACAGATGCTAAAATTTCTCTAAGGGAAAAGAATATTGAACCTAGAATTTTGTACTCCAATCACACTATTAATCTAGGGTAGGGGCATAAAAAAACCTTTGTCAGCTATATCAAGACCCAAAGGTACTTCTCACATAGCAGAAAGTCACTTGTTGTGTGCTCACAACACTCCCTATCTCTCTTATTTGAAGCTATTAGACAACATCCAATAAACGAACGAAGTAACCCAAGGAATACAATGAAACAAAATTCCAGGAATGGCAGTGAGCAAGTTTAGAAATTCATCATTCCTCAAAAAGAACAAGAAGTCAGAAGGCTCTGAGAAAAATGCCCTAAATAGAATCAAAATATATGGATAAGAACTTGGAAGTTATTAATAAAATTTAATCGCACGGCTCTTTGTCATAAAAAATGTATAAAAGACAATCAGTCCAGGAAAGTCAATGAGGAATGCAAATTCATCTGACCTTGTCATCTAAAACATTCCTTCCTTTGAGTGGAATGGGTAGTTAGAAAATTACATTCACTTCTCCATGGGCCAAACATGCTCTTGTTTCTGCAAGCAGTAGTATACATGGATGTTCCTAACACAATGACTATAGTTGCAGAATAGAATGTAAGTATAAATTTTGTTAAAGTAACTCTAAAGGTCTGTGACAATATCACCGACATTTAGTGAAAATCATAATACAAAAATCTAAAAATAATGGCTTAGCCATAAGAAACATACTTGGTTCTCTCTCTGTTTTTTTTTTTTTTTTTTTTTTTGAGACAGTCTTGCTTTGTCACTGAGGCTAGAGTGCAGCAGCACTATCTCAGCTCACTGCAACCTTCGCATCCTAGGCTAAAGAGATCCTCCTACCTAAGCCACCCAAGTAGCTGGGACTATAGGCGCACACCACCATGACCAGGTCATTTAAAAAGATTTTTTTTTGTAGATATGAGTTCTCACTGTATTGCCCAGTTTGGTCTCAAACTCCTGGACTCAAGCAATCCTCCCACCTCAGCCTCCCAAAGTGCTGGGATTACAGGTGTGAGTCACCACTCCTGGTTAACAAACATACTTTGAAAATGCATTGCTAAATACAGAGGGGAAAAAAGGGAAATCAAAGACTCAGAAACTGAGGAAAACTGAAAAACAAATTTGCATTTTTTTAAGTTTTATTTTTTATTTTATTGAGACAGAGTCTCATTTTTGTTGCCCAGACTGGAGTGCAATGGCTCCATCTGGCTCACTGCAACCTCCACCTCCCGAGTTCAAGCGATTCTCCTGCCTCAGCCTCCCGAGTAGCTGAGATTACAGGCATGCGCCACCACACCTGGCCAATTTTTGTATTTTTAGTAGAGATGGCGTGTCTCCATGTTGGTCAGGTTGGTCTCGAACTCTTGACCTCAGGTGATCCGCCCGCCTTGGAACTCCCAAAGTGCTGCGATTACAGGCGTGAGCCACCATGCCCAGCCCCAAATTTGCATTTTTGATGCTCTCAGGAGGGACGGACGATAAGGCCTTACAACTTGAGATCCCTACATGAAGTAGTCAAAACTTACAAAGTAGTACACTTAAAAAGGAAGATAAGAAAAAGTCATCCCAGTGGAAAAGAGAAGGAAACTTCAACAGGAAATATCTGATCTGTGTGGCCTTTGAATTCAAACTCAGGTTCATTCCTCACACCATATTTGGGGTTCAGATTTTCATGATTCATGCTGTCTGTGAACCTCTAAACTTAAAAATATAAAACTCGTCCAGAACTATGCCACCATAAGGACTCTTGACCGAAGTAAATGCAAACCTGAATCTGGAAGGATACTCTCAATGCCCATGTAAACTAAAAATAAATTCCAACCACCCAACGGACTGAACGGACTCTCTTGACCACAGAGACCCCAGAGAAACTAGAAAAATTGAGTTCTTGGCCTGACAGAAAGGAACGCTAGATACACCTCATTATATCTCTCCATCCCCTGCTTTTGGAGTGTAGGCGAAACTGACCAGCATTAATGTTAAAATAGAAATTATAGGGCCTAACAGAATGAACTCTTTGTGACAATAAGATACCAAATTAGAACCTAAAGCTAAGCCAGACCAGGGTTAACTCACACACCCCTACAGGTCACTCCAACCCAGTACATTGGCTAAAAGACTTTCTTACCTTAAAAGATTCCCTTCTGATGAGTCCAAATT